TTATTATTATTATTATTATTATTATTATTATTATTATTATTATTATTATTATTATTATTATTATTATTCGGTCTATCTTTTATCAATCCACTCATACCAATAGCTCCAACTCATATAGTACTCTGATACTTCTTTATTTTTTAGTGCCAGAGTTAATTTATCCATTTCTGCACAGCTTGATATTTTCTGAATAACCATTCCCTCAGGTGGAGTATAGGGTTGTTTCCAGCATTGTGCGAAAGCCAATCTAGCTGCCGTCAATATATGTAATATTATATATTTAACTTTTTTGGGGAATTGTCTGTTGAGAATCCCTAATAGGAAGAATTCTGGTTTGAGTTCAATCTGCTCAGACGTACAGACGTAATTTCCTCCAACCATTTCTTTATTCTCAGCCAATATCTCTGGGTTTCTGTACAAGACCACCACATGTGGTAGAATGTTCCTTCTTTCTTTTTACACTTCCAGCATTTAGGGCTCATGTTGGGAAACATTTTTGCTAATCTCGAAGGGGGTAGATGCCATCTATAGAAAATTTTATAAGTGTTTTCTTTATATGATGCCAATTTTGTAATTTTATTGTTTCTATTCCAGATCTTCTCCCATTCTGTTAGAATAATGCTACAGCCTATATTCCTACTCCAAGCTACCATATTACCTTTAACTATTTCTTCCTCTAATTCTATCTCTAATAGTTGTAAAATTTTGTTATAATTTTTTTATCTGGGCCTAATATAATTTTATCTAATTGTTGTGGTTTATTATAGATTCCAGTCTTTCGTGTCCTGTCTGTATCTATTCTGGACTTGGAGATATGCCCATTGGTCAATTTGTAACCCTTGTTCCTGGAGGTCTTGCCATAATTTCAAATTTCCTTGTATATCCAATAGATCTTTATACTTTAACATCTTATTAATGTCCAAATTATTTGGGTGAATCATCGCCTCCATTGTTGAAAGCCAGATTGTGACCTTTAAATAATATTTTTTCTTATTTTGTTCCAATTGGCCAATAGAGAATCTCTAATTAAGTGTCTATGAAAATATTTTTGTTTGGTTTTCCCCATATCCCAAAGGAAGGCATGCCACCCCCTCTGTAAATCATGATCATCTAAAGTTAGTATTCTTTTATTAGATAGATTCACCCAATCTTTCAACCATACTAAGGAAGCTGCACAATGATATAACTCCCAATTTGGGAGGGCCATACCTCCCCTGTTCTTCATATCTTGCATTGCTTTTAAGTTTATTCTCAGTTTTTTCCCTTGCCAAATAAATTTTGCAATTATCCTATTAAGTTCCGTAAAATAGTTTTTGTGTATTTTAATTGATATTGCCTGAAATAAATAGGTGAATTTAGGGAGAATGGACATTTTAATAGTGGCAATCTTCCCTAATAGAGAAAGTGCAGTTTAACCCATGTCCCTAGATCTTTCTTTACCTGTTGTAATAATTTGTCATAGTTATTTTCCATTAATGTCTTACATTGTGCCGTCAACCATATTCCTAAGTATTTGATTTTCTTTACCACTTGTAATCCCATCGTCTCTTCTAGTTCTGATTTCTGTTTTTCTGTTAAGTTTTTAGTTATTAATTTCGTTTTCTTTCTATTAATTTTAAGTCCTGCAACTATTCCAAATTGTTCTAACTCATTCATCAGTTTCTGTCCCTTTTCTGTTGGGTCCAATAAAGGCTTCTTCTAATAGACAATTATAAAATCACCACTATAAATGTACTCGAAGGAGATTAATATTTTAAAAAATGTTTGGAATTTCAGGCATATTTGAAAGTAGAAGAAAAGTAGAAATTAAATTGTAAAAAAAGAAGTTGTTCAAAAATAGGAAAATAAGGCACATTTATGAAGTAATTATTAGGAAAGGAAAAGCATGGATATCATTGGGATCCTGAGATCAGAGATTTCCTGAGACAGGAATAATGAGTTGATATCTTTAGATGTCACTGAATGCTGAGTAGAGACGTGAGGACTATCATGTTTAGTCTATAAAAGGCTGGGTAGTGCAGCCTTTCTTGCAAGGGATATAACAGCTATGAAGAGCAAAGGCAATCTAATCTACAGGTAGTCCTCAACTTACAACAGTTCACTTAGAGACCATTCAAAGTTACAACAGCACTGAAAAAAACTTATAACCATTTTTCACACTTATGACTGTTGCAGCATCCCCATGGTCATGTGATGTACATTTGGATGCCTGACAACTGACTCACATTTATGATGGTTGCAGTGTCCCAGAGTCATGCGATCACCTTTTGCAACCTTTTGACAAGCAAAGTCAATGGGGAAACCAGATTCACTTAACAACTGTGTTACTAATTTAATAACTACAATGATTCACTTAACAAATGTGGCAAGAAAAGTCATAAAATGGGGCAAAACTCACGTAACAAATTTCTCACTTAGCAACATAAAATTTTGGACTCAATTGTGGTCATAAGTTGAGGACTACCTGTACTGGGGCTGACATTGCCCTTTCCAGTATAAACCATTCTACTGTAAGAATAAGTTGTTTTACTTTCAGTTTTTATTTACTAAATAAAGAAAATTATAATTACACATTATTTTTCTGTAAAGACCACTAAACAATACATACCACAATATGCAAAACAATTGCATACAATATGCATAACTTGAAAAATTGACAAAATATACAAGGCATCAACTAATTTATACAATTTTATTTATTATTGGTCTATCATATTTTTATGCTGCTGCAGTGAAAGACACCATTCATGGCAGCACATTAAATAGATAGTCATTTTCAACTAGCTCTTTGGTGTTACTGAAAAGCTGTATAGGCAGGGGTGGGATTCTACCGGTTCTGACCGGTTCTATAGAACCCCTTGTTAACTTTCTAAGCAGTGCAGAGAACCGGTAGTTAGAAGAAATCTCCTTTTGTTTTTTTCCACCCTTATTACATTCTTAGCAGACAGCCTAGACTTATTGTCTCCGACTTATTGTCTCTTTTTTTCTTAAAGGGGGAGGGTTGTTTGAAGCTTTTTACACTGCTGTTGGGAGGAAATACTCCCCTTGAAATACTTCTTGGCTAGCTAAAAAGATTGACATTCAAACGTTAGTTTACATACCCTTTCAGAGTTTTGGTCTAAAACTGGTTTTTGGTGAAGTTTAATTCTGTTCTTTTTTTTAGTATTTATTTGATTTGTCAATCACTTACAAGATACAGGTATAAGAATAAATATAGTTTTGAATACATGAGATAGATACTTATATAAGAAAAATTAAAAAACAATAGGACCGGGACAGTAGGCACGATTGGTGCGCTTATGCACGCCCCCTACAGGCCTCTTAGGAAGGTGGTGAGGTCAATAGTAGAAAGTTTAAGGTTAAAGTTTTTGGGGTTTGGGGAAGAAACCACAGAGTCAAGTAGAGTATTCCAAACATTGACCACTCTGTTGCTGAAGTCGTATTTTCTGCAGTCAAGTTTGGTGCGGTTAACCTTGAGTTTGTATCTATTGTGTGCTCTTGTATTGTTATGATTGAAGCTATTCATTTGCAGGTAGGACATTACAATGTATGATTTTATATACTATATTTAGATCAGACCAGAGGCGGCATAGTTCTAGGTTTTCTAGGTCTAGAGTTTCAAGTCTGGTGGCATAAGGTATTCTGCAATGAGTAGAGGAGCGGAGAACTCTTCTTGTGAAATATTTCTGGACTTTTTCAATTGTGTTAATATCAGATACATGATATGGGTTCCAGACTGATGAGCTGTATTCAAGTATAGGTCTAGCAAATGTTTTGTATCTCTGGTTAGTAGTGTGATATTACCAGAGAAGAAGCTACATAGGATTAGATAACAACTCTTAATGCCTTTTTGGCTATGTAGTTAC